TAGAACATATCAGGAAAGAATGAGTGGAAATTACACTACTTGTCAGCACTGTAATATAATTATCAAGACTTACAAAAACATTGAAAAATAAGTTTTAAAAAGGAGCAGTAATAGTAAAACAAGTAGTAATAATTGGGAGAATGGATTGCTTCTCTTTCTTGATAATGATGACGATTTTGTCAATATTTATAATATTCTATATTTACATAAGTGAGAATGCTTGCAACATATACTTCTTTAACCTTACTACAAATACACAATTGTACATTTTCATAGGGAAGGTGTGAGAATTAACAACACAAGAAATGTGAGAGACTCCAGAGTTGGTGCTTAAATGAATATTCATTGCTGACCTGTGTTTAGGGAAACACAGGATGGAAGAAAATAACATCATGTACCCAACGGGGGAAGAGATGTGGACAGCATCAGTAAGCCTGTCCACCTCTGTCTTGGATTTGTCGCAGGGACAGTTGAGACCTGGGAAGAACAATGAGTCCAAGTGTTGAGTTTGTTTTCATCAGATAAGAGCTCTTAGACTATCACACAGGCCTTCTCTGCTTCTGAATTTACATACATGTTTGTAAAATGTGGAAAAGAAGTAAAGGCATGATTTATATGCATTTAAACATTGTGATAAATAAAGAGTGGTCAGTGTTTGTTACAACACAAACACAATAAAAATTATATTTTCCTAAATGTTATCAATGACTAAGTTTTTCCCAGCACACCTTCATGGGAAATGCATTCTCATTGATATCAAATGCCAGAGCCTGCACGGTAGCAGGGGGACATGCAAATAAGACTGCTTCTCCATAAGAACAAGCCCAGCCATGACCCTGCAGCTCTGTAGAAGACTCCAGGCCTGGATTAGCAGCTGATCTCACTCTGTGATCAGCACTGAATACAGACCATTCACCATGGAGTTTGGACTCAACTTGGTTTTCCTTGTTACTTCTTTAAAAGATGATTTGTGGAGCAGAGGAGAAAGTGAATGTATGAGTGGCCATGAGTGAGAGGAACAGTGGGTTTGTGTGACAGTTTTCTGAACAGGATTTTGTGAGTTTGAAGGTATCTAGTGTATCTAGTGTGAAGAACAGATTGTGTAATCTTGGGGAGAATTTGTGCAGCTTGGGGGATCCGTGAGACTTTCCTGTCCTGATTATTCATTCTCTTTCCTTAGTTCCTGTGTTTCTTTCCATGCTCCAAGAATGAGCCTCATTGCACATTCTATCCAAGTTTATGGAGCACATACCGCCCGGTCTCTGTAGAGGACAGCTTTAGGATCTCTCAACACACTACCTGGAATAAATTGTACCTGCAGATGGCCCATCTCAACACCTAGGACATAACAGCATATTGTTGTTCTAGAAACTCTGTTCTGAGGAACTCAGTGTGAGCCTAACGCAATCCCACCCCAACAAGTGCTCAGGACTAAGGAGGATCAACAAAGCACAGGATGACCACGACCACCAGGGGGCGCTCAGTGAAAATGCAGCAGAGTTCAGACACAGATGCAATGGCAGTGGGTGGTAGGGCTCCCTTAGGTACTGACTGACATCTTCCTGATTCTATTTAGACAGGATGCAGGTGTTTAGAGCATGATGATCAGGGTCATGTGGAATGATGGAGTTAGACATGTGGATCAATGGAACAGAATTGCATGAACCTGGATGAGCTAAGCATTTCTTAGATGCAACATAGAAGCACAGTCCTTGAAAATAAAGCAAACAAATAAAAACAGCATGGTGCTGACATAAAAACAGACACATTGATCAATGTAATAGGATAGCGAGTGCAGGGATGAACAGACAGGGTTACAGTATAATGTTTTTTCACCAAGTCATCAACAAAGAAACATGGGAAAATGGCCACCAATAAATGGTCATAGGGAATCTGGATGTCCACATGTGGAACATTAAAACTGATGCTTTTCTCATGCTACATGTAATAGACAACACTAAAGAGTACAGAGACTTTTACCTAAGACCTGAATCTGTAAAAGTATTACCAGAGAACAGAGAACAGCTCTCAAGAATCTGGTAAAGTGCACTTGGCTCCACCTCTTCCACACCCACCACAGCTTCATGTGGTGGCTAAAAAGACACCTATATAACAAAGTAAAGCAAGGGAAATACTCCCAGATAAAATGTGAAATGAAACATGAAGAAATAATTGTAGGCATAATTTCAAATTTTCCTTAGTGATTAATTCAAATATCCTTGACTCTAAGCCCAAGACACAGAAAAGGCTGGGAGGCAGCTGACTTTGTCCCTGACATGGGAAGAGCCCAGTGGTGCTACAAAGGCCCATGCAGTGGGCGAACAACATTCCCTGTCTACCAGAAAAGGCAGAGATAGGTGCAGTGGAGTCTGGGATGGGTTTCATATCAGTCCTGACTCCTGCTCCCTTCCAGTGACAGTGACCATCTCTCAAGATGGAAGTTGGCACTTGTGTGACCTTCAAGACAAATGGCAGCTCTGTCACATTACCTGCAAGGCACAGTAAAAGTACAAAAAAAGATCACACCTGTGTGCACTATACACAGGTGCAATGGTTTGAACTCAGGGCCTCCCAAGTGCTAAACAAGTGCCTGACTGCTTGAGACATGCTACATAACTTTTGAGCTTTAGTGATTTTTCAGTTAAAGTCTTCCTTTTTTAACTGTGAATGGCCAAAACTGTGATCCTCTTACCAATGGTCTTGCACATAACTGGTGTCACAGGCATGCACCAAGACACCAGGTTTATTGACTGAGATGGGGCCATGGTGATGATTTGCAAGGTCTAGCTTATGACCACAATTGCCCTGACCTCCACCTCCCTGTTTATAATTCTTAAATATCACAAGTGACTTCCATCTTCTTTGCAGGCTCTGTGATTAGCAGTCTGCAATTTGTATTGTTTTCTGTAATACAAATTTTATTTGATTGTTTCCCCATAAGTAAATTTTCTTCTTATTTGTTTACTTTAAAAATCTGACTTCTAGTCTGTGTGTGGTTCTAACACTAAAGTAGGGAAAGATTTGATTACCAGAGTCGTGGTGAGTCTCTAGGGCAGACTGTCAAGAAGGTGGTCTTTGGGATGGAGAAAGTGCTATGTGCATTTCCAAATGATTGTCTCTCCTCTTCCAAATGCTCCCTACTAGAGACAAAGGGGATTTGCATCCTCAGTTTGAAAACCACTAGCATTTTGAGGAGAAGTATGGGACAGATGCACTTCTCACTTGGATGGAAGTCCAGACATAATCTCCAGGAATTCATGAAATGTTTATGTCGGTGTCAGTACCAGTTTTGTTTCCAGGGTTGTGAGGCAGGTTTATGTCACTGTCACAAATATCTGAGATAACGAACTTAGATTGATAAGAGGTCCATCTTTGCTCAGTTTTATAGGTGTCAGTCTATCATCCCTTGGCCTTGCTATGTTTGAGCCTGTGGTAATGAGGGGCACCATGGCGGGGTGCATGTGGTGAAGCAATCTGCTGACCTCATGGATAAGAGTGAGAGAGAGGCAGGGGCTGACTCCACAATCCCCTCAATACCATGGCCCATATGAACTTAGGACCTCTCACTGGCCCCATATCTGAAGGTTCCACCCCCTCCCAACACAGCCAAGCTGAAGACCAAGTGTGGACTCTTGATGTTTTGATGCCATTTGGGAAGTAAATTGTAGCAAGGGGATTTAAGCAGCTCTCCACTGTCTTGATTGGTGGATTGCTTTCAGAACTGTTATTTAAAGGGCCATTAAATTCTTTTTTATTTTTCAGTATGGTCAGCATTTTCACCTTCAGAAAGCCATCAATTATCCAAGTCCCTATTCTCCTCCAGTGTTTTTATTCACTCATGTCCATGTTGATGTGGAGTCCAGTAATATAGAATTAGGATATCACTGTTCAGAAAGGATCATTGGAATCTGAGATCTGGATACAAAACCAGAGTCAGTGAACACCTGTGCCATGGCATAACGGAATTGTCTCCATTGTGAATGGTTTTGAAGCATGTGGTCCAGGATGGATCCATTTGCCAGTGAGTCATGTGGGAAGTGGAAGAAACTGCTGGACATGGCAGCAGATGTCTTTAGCCACCATGCCAGGTAACAGGACTCAGTTGGAAATTTTCAAATATGGAAGGCAATTAGGATCCTACCTTCCTAATTGTGTGCAGTCTCAAAACATCCCAAAGTGGATTTAACTTCATGAAACCAAGCTGAGATTATCCTTGCTATTTCCAAATTACCACATCAGTGATTCTATATATGATCATTCATCCATGTACAGTTTGTTTACATATTTTAAGAATGTTGTCAGACCTAGAATAATGTCAACAGTAAGCCCTAATGTCAAAATGTCTTGTGAGAATTTTCACATTTGTTAGTTCCTCTTAAAGTATATTTTATTTTAAAAACTGCTTAGATATGTACATTTTGAGTGAAGAATATGCCTTCTCAAAATGTGTCTTAATTCTACTAATTCAATGTGAAAGAGGATAAAACCTTAGAGGTCAGAATTTAGGTACATCAATCAGACTATGGTCTCTGAAGGACTAATCACAGACTATGGTCTCTGAAGGATTAATCCACGGGTCTCCACAGAGAAGAGTGGTTGTACGTGGTGGGTCAGGGTAGCTTCATGAGCCTAGTCACAGTCACCACGGAGGCAATTGTTGTGTGACAGTATGAGGTTGTGAGCAGAGATTTAAACCATTCCAACTACAAAGTTGAAGGAAGGAGCCATGACACCATGATGGGTAAATGAGGGGGAAGGCTGGTGTGCAGACCATTTCAAACACCAGGCCAAGTTTGGGACAGGGCCATTAGTAAGAGGATCCAGGCACCAGACAATGGAGGGCACAGCATAGCCACCAGGTGCAGAGGTCCTCCACGGTGTCAGTTTGTCCATGCTTGGATTAGCCAGCAGGTGTTAAGGGCTGATCCATATGCAAATCTCCAGTGACCCACACAGTAGAAAGCTGAGGATCCCTTTACACATCCAACAAGGGCCTCTGCCCATCAGTCTCACTGACAACTCAGTCCAAATCCCAGAGCATGGAGTGGGTGTGGAGGCTTCTCTTCTTTCTGGCTGCTTCCCAAGGTAGGGTACAGGACCCAGGGATCCAAAGCAGATAGAGCCAGCTGTGTCAGGGAAGGTCTCTGACTTCCCTGTTTCCTCTCCACAGGAACCCACTCCCAGGTCCAGCTGACGCAGTCTGGGGCTGAGCTGAAGAAGCCTGGAGAGACAGTGAAGGTCTCCTGCAAGGCTTCAGGCTACACCTTTACCAGCTATGCAATGTACTGGGTAAAGCAGGAGACAGGAAAAGGCTTGCAGAACATAGGGTGGATCAACACTGCAAATGGCAATACAGGCTATGCTGAGGGCTTCAGAGGTAGGTTTGTCATCTCCATGGAAGCCTCTGTCAGCACCACATATCTGCAGATCAGCAACCTGAAGTCTGAGGACACAGCCATGTATTACTGTGCAAGACACAGTGTGAAAACCACATCCTGAGGGTGTCAAAAACCCTGAGGGAGTCTGCTTCCACCAGACTGAGACAGTGACAGGGAACACTTGCTGCTGTCAAACTCTGACTGTGGGTTAGGTATTTAGAGGTGAGAAATTGAGGAAAGGAATTGTGGTCAGCTGTGGAATATTTCTGGGGATGAGCTGACAGATAAGGTCTCTAAATTAGGGAGGACATTTTTGTGGCATGCTGTGTTTTTTCAGATTAAACAGTGCCATATTGACAGATCTCAGTCACAGAACAGTCACAAATAGTATTGAAGTCTTTCGAGGAAGCAGCAGTGTCTGCCTATATTTCATACTGTCAGCACTTGTCTAAGGTTTCAACATGAAGGAGAGACAAGGAAGACGTGGAGATTCTCTGAAGACCTCTGTGCTACAATCCAGAAGCAGGGAATGCTTTATCTTGGCCAGAATCCAGTAAGCAGTCCTGGGCACACCCCTGACTTCTTCCTAACAGTCAGATTTTGCTTATCTCTCTGCCAGGTGTGAATTTCCCAAATCTTTTTCATCTGCTTTCCTTTATTTATGAGTCTCTCTGTGATCTTGTACCAAGGAACCAACCATCCTCATCGAAGTTCAGGAATACTTTTTTACTTAGATATCCCACCTTCCAAATAAACTGAATCTTTAAGGTGGCATTCTGTGGATCTCTACAGCATGGACATATATCACCTGTCCTCTCTGCAATGGCACAACTGTCACCTTTAACCTAATTTCCAACAGAATCTTTTCAACCTGAGATTCCCTAAAACTAGGTTAATTGGATTATTGAGTTTGTGAATTGCTACACCATGTTGTCACCTGAACAAAATAACATTGCAATAGCATACTGTCTTTATCTGCATACTATTTGGTTAACAGAATTTTTTTAAGATTTGTGTGCCTCCAACACATTTTCTTCTGCAATTGCTACTATTGTCAGTCAAGCTTATTCTGAGCACATGTGAGTTCCTTTCCCCAAGTCTCAGTGAAGGTGTCAACAATGGTCCTTCCACCTTGTGTGTTATCTCAGCTATCTATCCCAATGCATCAGTGCTGCACTGGATCTCTGGGACCACCTGTTCTACTGCATGTATGACCTGGGGTAGCAGATTAAACTCCAGGTACTACATGGATCCATCACCCAGTGCACAAGAGCTGGCATAGTGTCTCCTGGTGTGACCTGACCCTGGACATTTCAAAACCTGTGACAATATGATCTCAGGCATTTGTGCTCATGGACTTCAGCATTGGCCACATATAGACCTATATTTCCCTTCATTAAAGCACCAGGTGGTCATAATTCCTCTTGATTGGCTCTTCATATTTCTGTACATGTATTTTTCATATTTCCTCAGGAATTTTTTTAATCTTTCAAAAATTAGTCTTCCTCCCTCCTCAAACATGGTCTGTTGTTTGCTCCGAGATGGTCTTCTTCTCTCAGATGTAGTATTCCTGTTCCTCAGAAATGGTCTTCATCATTCCTCAGACAGGGTCTTCATCTATCTTCAGCTACAGTCTTCATCTTTCCTAAGATCTGATCTTCATGTTTCCTCAGACAAGGTCTTCATCTTAGGTAAATCTGCACCTGTCCCCATTTGTGGTTATGTTCTTTCTTTCATCTTAATGGATGACCTCTTCTCCGTCATCTACTACTGACATCACATTCTCTGAGATTTCGCTTCATTTTTATCAGCTATGGTAACATCTTTCCTCAAATATTGTCTTCACTTGCACCCAAATTTGGTTTTCACATACCCTCAGATATATTGACCTAATTTCTTACATACTGTCCTAATATTTCATCATGTGGTCTTCACATATACCCAAATTGCTGTCTGCATTTTCCTCAAATGTGGTCTTCATCTTTCCAAAGGTACACATTTATCTTTCCTCACATATGCTGTTCACATGATGACAGAAATTGTCTTTCTGTTTCACCAGATATGACCTACACGTTTCCTCCAACACACAGCAATGGTTTTCGTGTTTCACTAGATAGAACATCACAGTTCTGCAAACATGACTGCCACCTTTCATCAGATACTGTCTCCATCTTTGCTCAGATATGTTGTTCTGCTTTCCTGGTGTGTGGTCCTATTCTATCATGGGGAATGCTTGTAATTTTTCCAAGATACTGTCTTCATCATTCCTCAGATGGTTTTTATTTTCACCAAACAAGGTCATCATATATCATAAGATGTTTTTCTTTCCACTTTTCTTCTTTATGAACTTCATCTTTCTAAGATGTCTGCTTCATTTTTCCTAGGGTACGTCGTCCATCTTGCCTAAAATCCTGTGTTCATCTTTCCTCCTGATAAGACCTACAGCTATCCTTAGATATGGTATTCCTACTGACTCAGGCATTATCTTCACTATTCCAAAGATATGGGCTTTACTTTTCCTATGATGTCATTTCAATCTGACCTTAGACACAGTCTTCACCTTTCCTCAATTATAATGTCTATCTTTCCTGAGATGAGATCTAAGATAAGCTCTATGTATTTCTTTGGTTATACTCTTCATCTCCCCTCAGACATGTTTTTCCTCTCTCCTTGGATATGTTCTTCATCTTATGCAGATATGGGTCTCACCTTTCCTCAGACAAGGTCCTGTCTTACCTCAGATAAGGTCTTCATCCTTCTCAATGTGGTGTTCTCCTGTTCTCACAGTTTGCCTGCATCTTTCCTTAGATAAGGAATTCATCTTTACTCAGACATTTTCTTCTCTACTCCAAAGATATGGTCTTCACCTTCCCTTTGATATCATCTTCATCTTTCCTCAGTTACAGTGTTTACAAGTCCTTAGATGTGATCTTCTACTTTTCCAGATATTGTGTTCCTTGTTCCTCTGATCTGATCTTCATTTTTCCTTGAATGACTTAGATCTTCCTCAGTTACAGATTTCAACTATCCTCAGATGCATTTTTCGTTTTCCTTGGGTATGATCATCATCCAAGTTAAGGTAATCTCTACATATTTCTTTGTACAAGGTCTTCATCTTTACTTGAACAAGTTCTTCAAATTTTCTCAGATATGTTCTTCATTGTTCCTTACTTGTGATCATCAAATTACTTGAGGATGGCGTTCTCCTTTCATTTTGTGTGGCTGTTTGGGGCTCTTGAATATAGTCTCCTCTTATGTCAGATACATCCTTTTTATTTCCTGAGATAAGATTTACTCCTTCCTCAGACAGGATTTTTACATGGCCTGCGACATGTTCTTTATCTTATTTCCTGTTACAGTTTTATCATTCCTCAGATATGGTCTTTCATTTCCTAAGATCCAGTCTTCATTGTTCCTCAGATATCATCTTCAATTTCCTTCAAATATGGTTTGAACAATTCCTCAGCTATGATCTTCATTTTTCTTCAGATATGGTTTTAACATTTCATCTGATATGGTCATAATCTCTCCTCAGATATGGCTATCATCATGTCTCAGATTTGCCTTCCTTTGTCTTCTAATATGCTTTTCATATTTTCCCAGATATGTTCTTCATAATTTCTGTGCTCTCTCTTGAAGAATAATACCCAAATTTTCACAAGCTTGGTGATTTATTTTCCTAATACTATAAAATAATTTTCCATCAGTACAGAGATTAAATAATTGACAGTATTATAATTAATATTTATGTTAAGTAAAAATAATGATGGCACCTGTGATATATTAGGATCACTTTTAGAGTAGTTTCTTCATATGTATTGACTTCACTAAGGAAAGAGGGTCCATCTTAGGCTCTACTCTTGGGAGAACGCAGCTGTGAGACACAAATTTTCCTTGATCAATCATCAGTATTTGAGGAGTTTGCATACATCACAGCCAAAGATACGAGTGACCTCCATACAATATTGTCAGAATGAGAATGATCCTTTTTTATACAACCATCACCTCCTCACTTCTGTTAATATTTTCATTTTGGGTAGCTATCAGACAGCTTTATTGGAGGCATGGATAAAATTCAGGAGGATTATTTGGACTTGTTCTCAGTAAAAACTATTTGTGGTGTAGGGCAGCAGGAAAGGGAAAGTGAAAGTGTCAGTCATAAGAAACACCTCAGTAGATCCCATAGAAGGCAGCCCCATCCTATCCACAGGATAATTCTGTAGGTTAGCAGGCACTGGAATTTCACCATTGAGTCATGGACCTATGTTTTCTCACACATCCTCTCACAATCATTGATGAATGACAGACAAGAGGCATAACATGCACCATGTTCTTACTGGATACCAAGGTAGATGGAACAGTCTCACAGATTAATTATAGTCATCAACCAGTGTCATAAGGGACTTCCTAGAAGATATTATATGCCCACAAAGGGATGGTCCTGGGGCAGGATCTCAGATCTTAGATAGTTAGATAAATAGATAGATAGTTATAGATGTATACTATTTTATATTATATAGCATAAAGGTATGTATGTTTCATTTAATATGAGTTGAGTATATATTTTTTCAAATATAATATTTAATGTAGGTATCCATGAACTTATGTATACTTTATACTATATATATGTATATATATATGTATGTATCTATAAGTATACACACACATCTACCATGTCCACAGTGAGTGATTCAGAATTCATTTGAAACAAACACTTAACAACTTGTCCACATATTTGGGTTGGGGTGAATTCCTTCAGTCTTGTTTTCAAGACATTGAGTGATTGGCTCTGAACTCACTTTTTTCCTGGGGAGAGAATTTGTTCTTTCAGCTCTTCGCTTATTTCATAACAGTAAATTATGTCATGAAAACCTGTTCTCTGAAGGATAAGAGGATATTCATGCCACAGGGATCTGGCAGCAACTTTCTAAGTTTTGTTTGGAGAAGACGAATAGGTATACAATATGATTGGCAAGTAAATGTCAATGCTGAGAGGTAAGAGTACTGTCACTGCAGGCATGGTACCAATTATCAATGGTTTTCAAAGAACAGGATCTACGATAAGATGAGCAGTTTTGGTTCATTGTTTACATATAAAGATCTAGAGTGGAGGCTCATTGT